GTGTATTTAAAGGGAAGCATAAGCTCTGGGACCATTTAAGAACCCACACGCAAGAAAGAGTTGTAGCATGTCCTACTTGTGGAGGAATGTTCTCCAATAACACTAAGTTTTTTGATCACACAAAGCGACAAGTTTCAGAAGATAGTAAGTAAGCTCTTATTTCTGTTTTGAGATTTTTATTTAAGGTGTTTTATGATAATGTGCACATGTAATTTCATAAATATTTCTATTTTTCATAGAAGTCAATTAAATGAAAGAGGGTTTCCTCCAGGAAGGCAGTGTTTTTCATAAAGTGTAGAAATTCTCTTGACTTTTCATGTCTGATGAATTAGGGTAATGTAAGTGAACAACAGAACACCCTTGGATCCATGTTTCAGCAGAAAAGCTATTTGCTTGTCAACTGTGGTGTTGCACTGCCTCTCTTCCCTTGGTGCCCATGGCACAGTGTGACATTCCACTGACACTGCAAAACTGCCCGTGAATGGGAAAGACTTTTGATTACTGAAGCGATAACCTCCACAAAAGCCAGACTCGGATTACAAAATCCCTGCAAGTAATCCCAAATGGGCACTTGACTACTTTCAGGTCAAAAAGCTTTTTTTTAATTCTTCAGCTTTGCTTTTTCAGTATTTTCTTCACTAGAATACTCCCTACCTCAACAACTATGTATTAGTTGGCATGCTTTCCTGAAGAGGAAGGGAAGGTGATTGCTTTCTCTGGTTTCAAGAGCTTGGAATATATTTATGAATTGTGGATGTTTTGGTGATGGAATGTAGGTGCATTCTAGGTAACTGACAGAAGAGCTCAAATTTCAGACTGTTAGTGTTTTGAACAGATTGTTACTCTGTTTGGAATAAATTTAACTTACTGATAAGCAATCCTTTTCATTAAGCCTAAAATAAATTTTCTTCTGAAGAGCACTGGTTAATGAAAAAGAAAATTGATACCGTCTCAGTGGCTCTGTTAGTTTATTCTTGAAACTGTCAGCTTTAGGTTATTAATTAATAAGTCTTCCATAAATTATTTGTATTGCCACTAAACAGTTTCTATTTAAATTCAGATCGAATGTTTGTTTGCCAGAACTGTCAGAAACATTTTGCCAATGAAAGGCTGCTACGTGATCACATGAGGGGACATGGTAAGTCAGAGCTTTTTAAAATAAAATGTGCTTTTCTCAAGGTCACCTTGTACAGAACAGAGCTGTAAGTATCATTACATTAGTTGAGAAAATTAACATACCAAACTGGGGCAACTGTTACTAATGCTGGGAAGTAAGAGTTTCATTGCCAGCCCCTCTGAAGAGTGGAAATCGCCTTCTTCATGCCCTCTGATCACAAAGAGTAAGGGGCTTTCTGTTTTGCAATAGCTCCCATGAAGATGCTTGTTCTTCGCTTCTGTTTACTTGCTTTCATGACTAGGGGCATGGTTAAAGCCAAAGCTGTATTTTAGCTTGGGCTGCAACTCTGCTCACCTTGCAGTGCATAATCAGCCTCGCTCAAACACTGTAGTACTTCACTGACCTAACCACAGCCTCCCTGAGGTCCCCAAATTATTCCCACAGGTTATACTATAACAGCTATGACTTGCTGGGAAAGAATCCTAGAGCATCTTAAGCACAAGGAAACATGTGATGTTGCTGTTGGACATACAGGAAATGCAGAAGCTGAGAGCCGGGTGGGTCTTTGCTTTGGGAAAAGGAATATTTGAACCATGTAGCCAGACCTGGGTACCAGTCATTTAGGTTGTATAAACATACAAGCAGCTTTGTGCAGACTTGCTTAGTCAGGGTAGAGTCTACTTTCTAGTTGCATTCTTAAGGAAACATGATTTTTCACTGTCTGCAAGTCAACACATTGATGCTTAACATCTATGCATTTGTTTTGGTGCTTACTGTAACCTGCCAGGACTGAACATGTTTGTATTTGAATGGTTTTATAGTTGACATGCATCTGACTAAAATATCTTAATTTTTATATTTTATACTAGAAAATAATTATGTTTGGTTTGCGTACTAGATTAGTTTTATTCCTTTGTCTCAGAATGATTTTGGACATAAATTGTAAATAAATACAAATTAAGATTTATTTTGGGCTTGTTAGCTAAAGCAGCAATTTCAACATACTGTTGTTTGGTTTTAGTTTTTTTATTTTTTTTTTAATTAAAGCATAACACATATTGGGATAGGTTTTATATAGTAAATAAAGCACATGGCTAATCGAACTGTTTGTTGCTGGTCACTCTGGCTGTGCTTAAACCTTTGTGAGCTGTACAATGTGCCTGTCCGTCCTTGTCCCCTGATAATTCAGACTGTGTTCTGCTTGCATAGCCAGGGAAAATGGCAAGGTGGCCGGACTTAGGAACAAGGAAAATGTGAAACTGTGTCGTGTCCCAGTAAGCCACAGTGAACCACCCACAATGTGAATTTGTCTGAAGGAGCTGGAAGGCATTCCAGGGTCCAACTATTCAGGCACAACTTAAATCCCTTCAGATATTAGAGCCAGCATTTCTCTGGTTCATGATTCAGCTTTCTTTATAAATTCTGGCAGCACACATGTCTGCGTGTTAGTGCAGACTGCCAGTGCAGACATGACATTTTCAGATTCTTACCCCAGCATATTTCATAATAGCTTGCTGGGATAGATAAATATTGAAATAGTCTTTTAAAGAGCTTGCTTACCTGTAAGCAAGCTTCTGAAATAAACTGTGATGTGAATGCAAATGCTGTAGGTATTCTGAAATCACTACCTACATGGACATTCTTACATGCCAGGCAACCAAGTAAACCACTGGATACTTTCAAGAGAGTGCTGAACTTCACTCATGGCAGTTTTGCAGATTAAGTTATTCCAGACTAGTTTCCACATGAAGCTATTTATTTTAGGGAGGAAAAAAAATACCCATTTTTCCTGGTTTAAGACAAACTATGAGGAAAAGTGGCTATGCAGGGAGTGATTCCAGAATAGTTATAGTGCATTATATTTGCTTAGTTTTTAAGAAGACATGAGCACTTCAACTGCATGTTTTTATTTGCCGTCTGTAAAGCAGTCAGCAGTTCTAAGATAATGCGTTGTTCAGAGTCTTAAATATAACAGGTTTTGTCTAAATCCAAAACATCTTTATTGAGACTCTTCCTACTGCATTCATCAGGTTGCTGATTCATATGCAGCCGAGCAAACATTCATTCAACTTAAGATGTTGCAGTCCTGCCTGCCAATCTGCCAGAGGTCCTCCCATGTTCCAGAATCAGAGCAAACCTGTGTCTCAGCCACTGCAGTTCGATGTCTGGCAGCTTAGCAAGCACCTTGCATTATTCTGCCTTAAGCAAATATACCTGAATGTGAAATGGGGAGGCGGAGGACAGACACGTATTCTTTCTGCCATCTTTTTGAGAGTGGTAATACCTAAAACACTAAAAGTAGATTTGCCAGTGCTTGTCTGTCAGAAGGCCTCCAGACAACATCCACCTTTTAGAAATCCTCCCAGAGTGCCAAGGGCAAAACAGTAATCATCCTTTTTGTGACAGCCTAGAGAATGAAACATTATCTTCTACGCCTTTTTCCATTACCATCTATTTTTTTAAAGTAACTTGAAACATTGTAAGATTGACCATTACTTCATTACCCTCCTTATTGCATTGGTATTCCATTTTAATATCTTGTTTTTCTGTGTATTTTATTCTGAAATATAATATCTTACTTTAAATATGATATTTTAATATATTTTTTGTCATGTGTCATAGCAGATGATGTCCTGGTGAAGCTGGGATACAAAACCGAAATTATCTTTGTTTCTTTCTTTTCTAGTTAATCATGTTACATGTGCCCTTTGTGACATGGTATGCACAAGTGTCTCCTCATTGAAAGCACACACCAGATTCCGACACTGTAATGAACGTCCTTTCCATTGTCATCTCTGTGACAGAAGGTAAGAAAACCTGAGGCTTGTCGCTATGTGAGCAGAACTGTAGAACCAAGTTGGTGTTCTACGAGAGAGTTAGTGAACAAAGAAAAGTGTTCAACTGCTAAAATAATCAACTGGTCAATGAAGAAATCTAATACATTCATCTGATGTTCATCTGCTTTCACCTGCTGAGATGTAGTTCATGAACTTCTGGTGCACATAGAACAGATACTTTAAAAGATGAATTTTCTTGGCAAGACCATAAGTACACAAATGGTCATCACAACAAGTTGAAACACGGAGCAGTATTGCCTTAAACTGTGGGGTTTGCCATTCTAAACGATTGCTGGCTGTTTGCTGGGAGAGTTGCAGTCTTCTCCTTTGAGTGATTTTTCTGCCACGGGCTTACAATATCTTCTCCTGTCTTATGCTCTCATTTTTCTGTGGTGCTTTCTTTTGCTTTTGCCATATAATGCCACACAGGAGATAAATAAAAAGCCCCACAACATTGTGATGTGAAAGACCAGGTTATATATATAAGCACTGGCAAATTATGTTTACCAGAGAAGGGGAGAGGTCAGGCCTTTCTGTGCTGGAAGTGGGATAAAGTGAACAAGTGTTTTTGTACTTTTGTATTCTGTGCACTGTGGGTGGAGAGCAGGAAATAATCCAAATTTCTAGACCAGAGTACTAAGTGACTGACTGAAAATGACAAGAATTTTCTCTACATGAACAGAAAGAGGGAGTGATGCCTTGCAACATGGTTGTTGAAAAATTACCTAGATTTGGGCATGGTATGGATGTGTGGGAAGAAAGAGGGAATGGAAAATGAAATGCAGAGCACATCAAAGAGATGTCTGTACTATCCCCTTTTCACAGGTGGAAAAACTGAGGTAGAGAAACAACTTACACATATTCCGCTTTCACTTGTCATTGTCAGAGCCAAAAATTACTACCTCCCAGTCCTAAACATTAACCACAAGACTACTCCTCTGTACTATTATATCTGTTATTTGTTTTACCTTGTTTTCAAGTTTTAAGAACGCGTATGATCTGCATAAACATGTTGAAACACACAATGATTCAGATGCCTACAGCTGTGATGTTGAAGGATGTGGTTTTATTTCACGGACTTTACAAACTTTGAAACAGCACTACAAGAGAGTGCATGTGGTGAGTATATTAAATAGCAGGATAAAATATCTTGCTATAAATGAGGCAAAATTCCACATTTACATGCCTTTAGTTTCTTGTGAATTAATGAAATGTTTCATTTTTGCATCAAATCAAGTATTTATTTGCACACATTTCTAGGACTCTTGCAAGTATTATGCAAATTTCCAATTCATCCTTATCGATATATTTTGAGTGCTTACTTTAGGTGCGTGCAGTTGCGTACTTGTCTTGAACCCCCTCCACGTACACCCAACCCCTTTTAAAACATGAAATAAGATGGCAATCCTAATCTCAGCAGCAAAGTATTTCAAGGATTAAAGCCCAATGTCACCTTTCTCCTCACATTGGTACTCCATCCTTGGAGTTACCTGAAAATAGAGAAATGGTAAAGTATGTAAAGCTTACATCACTTTTAATCAGGTGAGTCTGGCCACAACGTTAAAATAGTTTTGCTATATTTTATGCACGCTTGTTGCCTGCTGCTTCATTTTATGAATTATGATAGTTACGATCACTGCTATGTTGTAAAATGCATATATTTTAGTGAAAGATACGTGTCACACTGCTACTGGAGTACTGATGGCCTATCCTGAGAATCTCCGTATTCACTGGGGTTCCTTAAACAGACATGTTTTAAAAAGCACAGGTTTTAAATGTCTTAGGAAATTCACTTCAGAAGAGTTTTCAACTAGTTTGTGTGGTTTTTCACGTTTCAACAAAGGATTAATTTTTGCCATATGTACCTGCAAGCCTTCAGTGACTCTAACAGTCTTTCTTTCGAAGAGTAATGGCATTCTGAAATACAAATGCCACATCTGTCAGAAATGTTTCTCCTGGAGTTATACATTGACTCTACATCTTCGAAAAGCCCATAAACTCCGCAGCCACTCTCGTTTCAGGTATGTTGCCAGCTGATTCTTGCTCAGATCATAAAGTTCAGGGTTTTTTAAATACTTTAAGAGATGCAGATATTTAATTAAATGTTATCTTAAGTTTGCTTCCGTTTTAAACATTCTGAGCATGAAACAATTTACTACTTAGGTTTCATTAGCACTGGTGTAAAGATAGTTAAACCAAGGAAATAAAAAGGTCTTTATGCTTTTATAGCTTTTACCACTCTGGAAAATCTTGTAACCTAGACTGCTGAAAAAATTTTTTGACCCTGCAAGTTATATCCACGAAAGAGTACATAAATATTTCAACAGCTTCTGTAGTATAAACAAGCCATAATCTCCATTTTGGAATAAGAAAATACAGCAAGTAAAATATAATTATGAATAGGTACCTTTTATTTTCTGTTACATGACTAAAAAAAACACCTACTGGAACCCTCTGGCAGGTGTTCCTTCATACAGAGTGTCTTTTGTTTAAGTGCCACCTAATCAATATCAATCTAATTCATCTTTTAATTGATTGCTGACATTCTCAGTTTTGGCAATCGGATTAGAAATTAGGTTATTCTTACTTTCTGCTGTAAATGCTGTGTTTGTACTTGTATTTTTGGTATTATCAATTTTATTCCCTTAGATATAAAGAAGATGATGAGGGTCATATGAGTTTGAATGTAGCGGTCTATAATGACATCATGGATTCAGGTCAGGCTGTCAATAACAAGACAGGAACAAATAAGTCTTCACCAAGCCAAAATAGTTTTGGAAGAGAAGGAGGAGACTCATGCAAAAGAGACACTTCAACAGTAGAAGAGCTTTTCATGCAGCTTCAGCCAGGGTCACAAGCTACTGGAGAAAATGTTTGGGTAGAAACAGAGACTTCTATGCCAGAGCCTGTGTATTCTGAACTTCAAACTGCTGTACAGCCATTTGAAAGCTGTTGTACTTCCAATGATGTTGATGAAGCAACACCAATGAATGTGAAAGAAAAACCAGCAGAAATGGAGCTGGGCTTGGGAATTCAGATAGCTTTCTAGAAAAACAGCCTTTTAATGGATTCTTACTGTGAAAACGATACTCTTCTGAAGAGGTTTATTCTCTTAAATAAAATAGGTTTTAAAGTCTTCACTTTTATCCTTGACAGATCTTGTATATAATACTGTGTTTTCTCACCTTTCACATTAACTTATTCAAATGTGCTTAGAGAATATATGCAAAATACTATATTATGCATGTATAATACTTTAATTTATAGCCTCTTGGAGAAGAAACTTTTAAGTTCTATATATTCACCTAGCATATATATGTGTGCATGTGTATTTATTTATTAAAAATATATATCCCATGGGGAAAGTGTTGAACCAATGCATGAGACAAACAGTTTGAACTGGTAGGTAAAGCACCTCATTTTCTATTAGCCTCCTACATTACTTATTAGAAATCAGATAGCAGCTTGTGAGATGTATATTTAAACTCAGTTTTGGCAGGCTTCTTAGCTTTACTTAGTGACTTTCTCTAATAACTCTTGAAATAATTTCAGACTTTATTCTCATAAAGGACTTCTAAGCTACAATTAAATGATTACATTTAAATAAAAAACATAAGGTATGTCTAAATAAAATAGGTAAAGATGTTCACAGAGCTGGATTTATATAGAATTTATGTACAATTTGGTATAATGGAAATTTTATAGATATTTATTGGGTGCTGGAGATACAACGAGAAAGTAAATGAATGGTATTAGCAGTATAACTAAATGTACCCACCTGCGTTTTCACAAATAATTCCACATAGCCATGGTTATCCTGACCTGTTAGGAATAAGTTCATGGCAAAGGCATTTATTTGAGCCTTCTGTAAAGGGCATAGACAAAAAGACAGGTATCCTTCATCACAGTAAAAATGAATGGCAGTGTTTGAAACATTTCTTTTAAAACAGGAACTGAAGAAGCCCTCCAAATAAAATATCTAAGACTTGTATGGAGGAGAAGGTGGCATCCAGTCAGCTTGAAACCTAGTTTACCCTGTGCTAGTTACCACGAGCCAGTGTCCCTTGAGGACCCAGAGGCAGTCTCTGAGAAGGGCTTCCTGTGCCACTTTGACAGTGCAACTTTCGGCGCATAGACAGAGCTGTATTGTATCTGGGCACACTGGGAATAGTTTGAACAAAAGTAGGCTGTCTGAAATTGAAGTGAGCTTGCAATGTAACCCTAAGGATGCTGGGGCACTTCTGTTTGGGAGGATTTACACTTCATCTCCTGTAGAAAACTGTCTCCCTTGAACTGGCCCTCCATCATCCAGCTGCTGCCCACTGTTGCACACATGGAACATGAGGCTGTGCTGGGCCAGTGGGGAGCTGGGGTAAGGAGGGATGTGCTCCCACTCATCCCCATAGCTGGAAGAGCACAGCATTCTGCCCAGGACCCTCACGAGGGTCTGTAGGAGCAGGTGGAATGGTGATAGTAGCACCTGCTTCCTACATTTGCTGTCACAAAGAGCATGGGCAAGTGAACCCGCTGATGGGTTTGTGCCAGTTTGCTACACCTGCATAAGGAATGGGAGTGGGGCTTGCTGGAGGGAGCCCTAAGTCATGACTGTGCACCCATTCTCACTGCTGCTTCAGCCTGACGATTTGGACCAGGTTGTCTGCAATACTTGGCAATCCTGGCCAGAGAGAGAAAATGAATTCAAGACTCCTGTCACAAATACAGGTACAGTAAAACTGATGGCTGTAAAGAACTTCCTTCCACAGCTCTCCAGCCTGTTACTGCCTTGAAAGTTCCTGCTTTGCAGGCAGCTGAGATTTTTTGCGCTCAGCTTTTAGTATTATTAAATATGCTTGGCTGTAATTTGTGGCAATTCAGCTGATGTTTGAAGGGCAGTTGAGCCATCTGTGCAGTGGGGGCAGGCCAGACAGATGTGGGTGGCAGCCTGATTTTAATCTGCCTTTGTGCATGAATCAGAGACCCGGCATTTTTAATACTGTACAGTATGGGTACAACTGAGTCACGTTTCTCTGGGCAATGAATAGGTACCACTATAGCCTCTGGGACTTCCCCTGCTAAATATCAAAGGCCTGCAACAAACAACAGAGATGTTAATGCTTCCCAAAGAAAGAGTCCTTTATAATGGAAAATATTAGTAAACCACAGCACAGAGGAGTCTTTTCACAGATCTTTTACAATAGCCTAGCAGGACTATCTGATCCAGTATCCAACAATTTACTCCTTTGGGTAGATCTTCATGCCTACCTGAGCAGGAGGCTGCTGCCTTCCATGCGAGCTGCACTGCAGGTACTGGTGTCGATTTGCACAAAGGCCATTCGGGGCTTCACGTAACAGATTTAAATGTGGCATTATAGATTTGTGCTTGACCTGTGGAACCACGCTTGCAGGGCAGTGGTATCACCTGCAAGTTTGACATTGCCACAACTGCCTGTGACACTGTTAAATACATACTGGAAGACAAAATCAGCTGTGGAGACAGAGACAGTGGGATGATAATTTATTAATGGAGACCTATTTTTTAAAATAATATTTTCAAATAATTTTCCTCAGTTATGCTGCTTAATGTCCCTCTAGACTTTTACCCTACTGTTGCTTAGATTTCACTTTAACATTACTCACAGTGTCTGCATTCACACAGGGGCTTTGTAAAGCTAAAAAGTTGCATCTGTTATCTTGTCAGTAATCTTGTATAGAATTTACGTTCTTACATTAGTTTGCATGTGGAGGCTTTGTTAACACCCGTGTCTTCACTAGGCAATAGTGGGTAGTGACAATGGATTTCAAAGGTGTTTTTTCAGAGTTTTTTTGAATTTTATGTAAGAAATGTATTAGCACTACAAGATGGTGGTTTGCATGTACAAAGTAAAATAAAATATCCACCTGAATGGAAGCACTTTGGTGAAAGCAGCTTTTTTTTTTTCTGATTTTGATACCAAATTCTATATTTTCCATGCTCATTATTTGCACTGTAATAACTGTATGTAAATCTATTCACTTTTGAAAATATGGGTTATGTTCCTGCTTAATTTTCAACGTGATTCCAAAGATGCTTTCTCCCCAGCGAATGCTGCCAAGCACCATCCTGCGGAAGTGTGTAGAGGGTGCCTGCAGGCTCGTCCTGCCACCCTGTCCCATGACGCTGTGTGACACTGGGTACACATTAAGCAAGTGTCTCCCTTGCACACATACTTTACTCAGCGCCTCCTAGAAGAAGGAAGCAGCTCTACAACAAAGAAGATATGATTTGCTGGCATTTGTGGGACCCAGCTTGAAAAACAACTTCCCGTGCACACCAGGTATGAGGTGGATGTGAGTCATTAGGGACTTGTTCTCATGGAGCCAGATCATCAGATAAGGCAAACTGGCGCAGGTCCAGAGTCTGTGAAACCCGCAAGATCTGTAACTGCAGCTCTGGCACGGGACCTGTGTGGATTTCGGTGGGACGGCGCTAGCCCTCAGCTTTGTAGAGGCAGGAGGAGCCAGGCTGACAAAGAAACCCTTTGATAATGACCTCGGAGATGGTGCCCTGCAGCACAGCTAACAGCAGGAAAAAATGTACCTGAAAAATGACAGCGTGTGCCAAGAAGCAGAGCAAGACCGAGCTTGAGGAGAGCATGCAGAATACCTTTTTTGTTCTCAGAGGCTTAAGAACAAAAATTTAAACCTAGGCATTCTTTTCCCCCGTACCACAGTAACAGCCATGTTAGTAATTCACTGCTTACAAACGTGATTAATCTTCTTTTTAATTAGTATTTTTTCACATTGTACAGGCTCTCTACCATCATAAATAGAGCTGATAATGAGATATATGTAAAATTAGGGTTGCTTAATACTTCTCAGTTAAGTTCCTGAATGCAGGGCTTTTTATGATCCTTAGAGAGAGAACGTTAGCAACAATAGTTCAGTGGTTTCTAAGAAAGCAGTTGTGAAAAAGCACAATATTTGTCTCTTGGAAAAAAATTCTCAAAGCTGGATCATCAAGCAACACTATTGTTTTGCACAGGCTTTAAAATTTAGTGTCTGGGAGAGGAGTGGTTGCCCTGATGTGGGTTTTGGCATATAATTCCAGGCAGAAAGATGTTAAAATCAATCTGCAAAGCCTACCAAAAGAGAATGTTCTGTTACTGTCTCTACAGCAAGGAGCTTATGTGATCTCGAACAAACTATGATTTGCCTCAGTTTTCTGCCTCCACTGATAAGCTCTCAGCTTTACAAGCAAGCCGCAAGATTTTTATTAATTTATATTCTGATTTGTTCAACTATTACAGTCACAAGCACTAAAACCACGCGATGAAGGCCCAAGCATGGTCTCCAGCCTGCCTTTTAATTCATGGCTTACTTTTGTATGCTCAAATCAATTTATAAAGGAACTGACTTCTGGGGTGCTGAGCAGGCAGAGCTGCCACTAACTTAAGCTCTGAACTAACAAAAATTCATACACATGCCTGGCTCTGGGCACTATGAGCCGTCCAGCTGGAGCGTGTCATTGACTTCAGGAGGATTACCTACACTGTACTTTGTTGTTTTTTTTTCAGTGGAAAAGTTAGTTTAAGAGTTCCCATCCTCTTCCTACAGCTCATTTCCATCTCCATGCCACACTTGCCAGTTGTTTGTGAGGGTGTGCTTTAAATGAGATCAGCAAGGAACTCCAGCATCTGCTACGATGTGTAACCATGTCCCTTTCATCACCTTCTTCAGGGGTAGTTTCCTTCCAGCCCACTCACCTCCCCTTCTTTGTCTAATGTTGACATTAACAAGTACCTGGTAAGTCAGGCCAACCTTCTGATCTGCCTGAAAACTAACCTGGGAGGTTTTTTAAGTGACATCATTGAGCTGGTGTAGTTACTGTGCAACCACGTGAACTCAAGTGCAACCATGTGAATACAGACTCTGACACAAAAAGGGGAGGGCAGCCTCCTTCACAGACAATGTAATTTTAGGCTGGCTTAGGCCAACTGCAGCGTGGCACCATTTGTGTATAAAAATCTAAACTTAGTGTCGTCGTTCAAACGACACTTGGTTGGGCTGGGGGGGCGCTGTCTGTTGCAGTCGAAGTTTGAGTAGCTGCTTGAGACAAGAACAGTCCAGCAACCAAGAAGGTGAAAAATGACTACCACTGCTGAACCCAGGACACTTAGCTTAAATGTTTGCACAGTGGGCAAAAAGATGGATTTTTGTGTTATCTTTTTGGAAAGTTGCAAGTTCCAAATTATAGCTTTTTTCCCTACTATGTTTGAAGCTATTACACAGATGCCACCTGCTATCTGTTCACAGAACACAGAAGCAAAATACTTTAGATCTAACAAAACAGGGCTGAGGTGCTCTACGTCCTGTTGAAGCTTTATGTTGGTTGACTTCATACACAGCTAGCAACACTTTAGAAGCATTACAACCTAAAAAGAAAAGGTTAAAGCACTAGATTAAATCCTGGTCTCTGAAAAGACTGAGAAAGAGCTCAAGACAACAAAGCAGAGTAGGAAGAGAGTTTCTTTGTGATGCTCCTGCAAATGTATGTACACAGGACAGAAGGATTTTATACAAGACTGGTCACCTTGTCACAGAAAGATTGGTTTCACATGGCTTGGTCTCAACAAATCTAGTATTGACTGTTCTTTGTCAGTCTGGGTAGCTATTAGCCTATTTTATTTATTTATTTTAGTCAGTGACCTGACTGCTCCAGAATTTCCTTGCCACCTTCTTCTTCTGCCTCTTGAAGACAAGCTCTTCTGGTGCCCTCTTCCAGCCTTCCTACGCTTTACCAACTAAAAGCTCAGAGCCCGGGTAGCCGGTTCTCTAAGCACCTTAAAAGTGAATTTTATTTAGGCCTAGCCCTTTTTGAAAGCACTTAATTAAAATTCTCTTAGATGAGCTCTTTCCATGTTCTGCCACGAGTTCTCACTCCTTTGTTGCTGCTGTTTGTTGAATTAATTCTCAAATCACAGTGCAGGCAGAAGGTATATTATTTACTTTTTTGCTTAAAGTCTACTGCCAACTAAGCAGAAGTTGGGGTTTGTCCCACTCAGGTTTACAACTTTCACCAGTGTCCCAATGAAGCTGGAATTTGAATGACAACGGAACAAACGACCTGGTGTGCTGTGTGGAACAAAGTGGAGCACACCTGCAGAAGGCAGAGCATCTGAGGCCCTAGTTCTCCAAATCACTCCAACTTCCATAGACCTCTATGACAGCATGTCAGGTTCCGCAGACTGATCCAGTTACAGCTGACATCCCAAATTAAAGCAAGGGCAGTGATGATAACCAGGACAAGGAGGCTCAGGTAGAGGTGTAGTGTTGGGTCACACAGGTGACCTAAGGGCTTGTCTCTAGACACAGTTGTTTCTTATTCTTGATTTATTTATACAGAGGTGTTCTCATTCAGAGTAAACCGGTTCCAGTTTAATCCAGAGTAAATTAAGCAGATACAAGTCCCTGTCAAATAGAGCCCCGAGAACAGACTTGATATCCCATGTCTTTTGAAAGTAATTAAATGTCTCCATAGATTCTTTTTAAATGGAGCTTTACAAAGACAAGACTGACTAGTGCTATTATCCTACCTTTAAAACACATTGTCCTCTATCTATTGCCTAACCTACCAGATTAAATGATCATAGGCTAACTGCCTAGAACAATCAGTTTGAGTCTCTGATATTCAGTATGATAAACACAAGCTTTATTAGCCTTTAGACATGTGATAGGTGTGAAGGTCACATTGCAGATTGCAATAGCCTCCTTACCATTGGGTTACACACCAAAGGTTTCAAACTCCTTCCTTCCAACTGCAGCATCTCAGTCACAGAGTAAGACCCTTTATCCATCGCTCCGAGACCTGTGACACCTGCAATTAGATCCACAAAAGGATTCAGGCACTGAAATCTGCCGCTGGGATCATCAAGGCTCCTAATCCCAGGGGCAACTGAAAACCAGACAGGCAGCACTTCTCGGCAGCACGGTTTCCCTAAAAACTGTTGCTTTGGAGCGCGCCTGAGCAGCCTCCAGCCTTTGCCACACAGACCAGGCCGGCTCAAGCATTGCAGCCCCCCGAGCGTGATGCATCATCCTCCCTTGCCGAAGGGGCGCAGACCCGCTGGGGCTCCTAGGGAAGAGGAGGAAGGAAGGCAGGTGCTGGTGCTTCCCTCCCCTTTATTTAATAGCTAATTGTCACACCTCAACAGCTGTGCGCAGCGCTCCCCGCCTGCTCGAGGAGCTTCACCCACGACCCCTGCACCCTACTGCCACACCTCGCGGCCGCCACCACCACACAGGACCGGGAGCTCACACAGTGCCGGAGCGAGAAGAGGAGCCGAGGAACCGCCCTTTATAGGTGTCGGGGAAGCCAGAAGCGCTGCCCGGGCCCTAGGGAGCCAAGGGAGGGCGCTACGGCGGCAGCAGCACCCGAGCACCGGCAGCGGGGCCGGGCAGCGCCACAGCCGCTCCCCGCTCCGCTCCGGGCAGCGGCGGAGGGGGGGGCGGGCCCGGCCCAGGAAGTGACGCCGCCCTGCACCCCCCCGCGGGCACACCTGACTCACCTGGGCGGGCGGCGGCGGCGGTGCCGGGCGGTCGGGCGGTCGGTCTGTCGGCGGCCGAGGAGCAGCAGCATGGCGAGGGAGAGCGTCTCCCCGTGGGCCATGGGACTGCTGAAGACCTTCGAGGAGAGCGAGTTCGGCAGCTGGGAGAAGATCGGCTCGGGGGGGTTCGGGCAGGTGTACAAGGTGCGGCACCTCCACTGGAAGACATGGCTCGCCATCAAGTGTTCGCCCAGCCTTCATGTGGATGAGAAGTAAGGGGCGGTGGGGACAACGGGAAAGTGGGGGGAAGAAGATCTCCAGGTATTGAGGAGCCCTTGGTTGCCCCGTGGCTCCCTGGATGTACAGATGCAGCCAAGGAGCGACCAAGGGCTCCTTTTTCTGCAACCCTCCCTTGTGTTTTTATCACACAAGGCACACAAATCATGCTTCCCAGGTGGTCATGTTTCCCAGGCCAAACAAGACGGTCAGGCTGCCTGTGTGACAACTTCTTTTTGAGCCCCAAGCCAGGCCGTATAGCCCAGAGTTACAGATCTTGGGAGCGAGCTTGGAAAAGGGACGAACTGGGAGCTGTAGCGTGTCTTCCAGCTCTGTTTACCAACAGCAGCAGTGGGGATGAAGGTCTGACTAAATTCAGGAAAGAGCTGCGCAATTAAGTATTCCCCAGGCAAACGTGGCCTTTGCCACACTTAAGCAAAGCCCGGACCAACACCTTTGGTTCTGTTGTATATAATGGGGCTGGCCTCACGCAAAGAGCGAGCGACGTTACTTAGCCGCTTGCAGCAGCTTGGAGAGAGCCGCCGCACGGCTGCAGTCTAGGGCTGGCCTGTACCCTCGGAGCCATTTGCCCTGCCCTGGTCGTGCATGTGTTGGCTTGTGCTTAAGCGTTACGCCTGCTGCAGCTCCAAAGGTCATCGGAGGCAGTCCTCAATGGGAAGCGCAGGAGGAGTGAAACTGCCGGATGGGATCCGGGGGTTTCTCAAGCCTCCTGTGTCTCACTCCAGTGAGCTCCCTTCCTTGGGAAAAGCCAGCCCTTTCTCTTGCATTTGCATTAGTTGTGACTGCTGTGTGGTGGGTGGCTGGTGGTTAGCAGTGGGGCAAGCAGCTGGATCTTGGCGGGGGGGGGGTGGTGTGTTGGGCAGTGGACATGCTGTCTTTGAGGAGCAGGTGCTGAAGGGAGATGTGCTGGGGAATTCATTTTCCAGTTTCAGGGCCAGCGCTTCTCCTTGCATCTGCCCAGGATGGGCCCTCACTGTGTAGTCCAGTGTGGAGCTGTATTGTATTGCAGATGAACATAGTGGGAACCCCATCCAGCTCACCTGCCCTCTGTGACTAGTTGTGGCCCATGGTGGAGGACAGCCAGCTATACTGTGCATGCGCAGTCTGTGTGTGATGGGGGCATACCAAGTGCAGATTGCTCTTCCTAGGAGAACGCAGCTGTCAGAAGCTCCTTTAGAAACATCCTTCTGTTTCAAGGGACAGCAGTGACTTAGCAGCTGGTCAGCATCTGTGCAGAGGGAGGCGAATTACGGCCAAGTGCTATTCACGGAGCTTTTGCAGTTCCACCTTAATTTCTGGATCTTTTCCAACTCACAAGTTGATCTTGCAGTTCATTTTCTGAGGCGTGGGTTGGTTCAGACACAAAAGGTTTCATTTGTTGCGGTTCCTGTAGGAGAAGGGAGATGAGTTGGCCTAAGGTTGAAAACGTTTATAAGCCCATCTTCTGCAGGATCAGTAGGGTAGTGGGACGTCTTGCCCATCATCTGAATTGACTTTGCTGTAGGCATAGCTTATATAATACGGTAAATGAGGCAAAATATCCTTTTTTAGGGACAGAAGGTGAATATATGCACAGGGTAAGTGCTGTCTGTGAATAAAATGGAAAGGCCTCAGAGTTGCAGAGTGTGTTCTACTGGGTTACCCTGCAAGCCTTCCTACCATTAAAACTTCCAAGTACATTTCAGACTTGATGCTTTTTGAGGCCTACTCAAAATAGTACTGTAGCTGACTAATTTTGCAGTTAAAATAAAAATACCTCTTAAAAATAAGAACATTTGTTATACTTTTCATTTGCAAAATACATCTAGAAATTTAGTTAAATGTTAATTTTCAGTCTGAGCCAAAGGATGCTGTCACCTATTTTAATATGAATAGTGAATCATGAGAATTGCTACCAAATCTCTGTATTAATATATTTGATGTGTGATAGAGAACCAGTGGTTATAAGGCTTGCAGGTATTGGAGGGACCATACAAACATGCAGTGGAGTAAACAAAAATGCCTTGAGAACTTGGGAACTTCAAGGCCATGTGGTGCCTGCAGCTCCGGGTTAATTTTAACAAACCAATCCTTGACACAGTAATTTATTGGTTTTACTGCAGAATTTGCGCTTTGGATGCTTAAGGGGAGCTCCGATTCGAAATCGGAGGGTCCCTGGCCTTTGAAACAGCTGCTTCTGCAAAATAAAGCTTAATTTGTATCTGCTTTTCCTTCCACTGTTAGGCTATTCTACCCCTTTCAGCAGTCAGTAACACTGGCCCCCAAAGAGACTTCTCACCTGAAACCTTTCTAAGAAACTTGTGTCATTCAGATGGTGGGGTGAGGGGCACAGACAACATAAAACACAATCTCTTTAGTTCACAGGTTGAAACAAGCCTGTGTAATTAGGCAGTTAATCCAGGAGATGAATTTGGCTAGCCATTTCTTGGAACCCTGTGAAGCAGCAGTTAGAAGAATTACCAGTGGTATCAGAAATATTAACTGAAAAACATGGAGGCTTTTTCTTATTTATTTATTTGGTACCACATTAAAACCATGTTTGTAGTGGCTCGGCAGGGGTAATACTCTGTAGTCTCTCTTACTGTGTTTCTGCAGACAGTAAGAGATTTGGGTAATTCACTTGGCAATTATCACCCCATAGAGCCAAGTGGCCTCAAGCAGAAGAAAAACCGAATATACAGTCAGAAGTGTTTTTATCTTTAAGCCCAAGCCCTCTCAGGCGATTGAGCCAAATTGTATTCCCAACACCTTATTTGCTCCCACTTTCCATCTCCTGAGATCACTTCCCGCATGCTACTCAAGATGCTCTCAAGATTGGGTGCTTCAGTGTAAGCCTGGAGAAAAGAGTGTGTCACCCAGAAAGGTGGAGGAGCCTCTTATCTAGGACTTGCAGTGGGGAGCACAGCACCTTCTCTTTACTCCTGTTGGCCAGAATGGAAGTGTGGTCTGGAGGAAACGGGTGGCGAGCCCAGAAAGAACAACCTGGAAGCCTTTGTGGGTTTCTTACAGCTGAATGTAAACGTGCAGACTATAATGAGTATGAACCATGTAACAGTTCCCAGAGAGGACTCCTCACTGGAGGCATTAGCCAGTGGGGGTGATGACAGGGTGTGAAGGTGGAAAGATCTGCCCTCTTGATTGGGAAAATAAAATGAGTAAAGCCCTACATGTACCTCCCTCTTCAGGACCTGCATTTAGGAGTGCAGCAGAACCTAGAAACTTATGAAGTTTTGAAATGTCTTGCTGTTAGCAGCTGCTGCATTTATTTGGGTGGTGAAGGTGAATGAATGTCTGTTCTGGTGGTCTCTGGATGTGTAGATAGAACTTAATACCCACCTCATGCTCCTCAAAGAGTAGGGATGAGCCTAGCTGTCTGTGTTAACCTGTAATACTCTTGTACCAGGGTTATGCAGCAGAGATCTGTGAACAGCACTGAGATCTGTGTTAACCTGAAAGAAGGAACGTTTTAACTTCTATACTTCCCCCCTCCCCAACACATTCTGCCCTGACCATGCAGTGTTTTTTCTTTTCTTCTCTTACTCGCTTTCTTCTCTGAGGATCAGCAGTATGAAGGTCATTAAAGGTGTACCTTGCAGAGCAGAGGTCACTGTATGCTCTTAAACATCTGCCATGATGCAGAGAAAAGAGCCCCTGTAAAAATTCAGAGACATTGTAATTTTGTGGATCCCATCTTCACCACCAGCATAGTTTGTAAAGACGTAACGTGCATTTGCCACTGAAGAGCAGTTTGAGTAGGCTGGCTGCTCTGCACCTGGAGGTGGTACATGCAATGGCCACATCATAGGTTTTCAGGGCTTTTTGAGTTTCTTTGGTGCAACTTGAACTGCTCTATCTCAGCCTTCATTAAGAAAATGTGTTGGGGTGGGGGGAATATAAAACTGCAAGGACTGCCTTGTGAGTTTAAAGTTGTATTTTTATAGCAGTGTTATCTTTAGGGCATAAAGATTGGATACACAAATGCAGATGCAGTCATAACTCCTGCTGTTCTTGTGGCAGGGTTTGTGGTAAGAGGGTTGGGCCCTGGGAAGTGAGGCAGTGGGCAGGAATAAGTCCCTTGTCTCTCCAAGAGAATCTGAAGAATGCAGCCCTATCCATTCGGGGTCTGACTTTGAGTGGAAGCAGACAGATGTTTCGGGGATGTCAGAGGTCCCCCATTCATGTAAATAGTCCTGATTGCTTTGAGAACAGCTGATCTGTCATTGAGAACTTCATTGACAGAGATGCTGTTTGATACTGATGCAGTACTAGATCGCTTGATGTGTGTGCCTCTGTCTTCTAATACTATTATAGGGGAAAGTGTATGCACCCCATGATTTACATGAATTCATCTGTCCTGTGTGCAAGATTTTTTTAATTCTTATTACCATAATGTTAGGATATAGTGCTGGAGGGGGAGGAGAATGGAGCCAAGGTGGTTAGAGAAGATAATTCTGACTCTTTAATTGTGTAGGTATTAAATAAGAAACACTGTTATAACAGAGGCTAGTCCCATGCCTCTTGACTGAGAAACCTCATAAGGAGCTTTTATTTTCCTCCACTTTGGAGGGAAGTGTTTCTTGATGATA